TCAGGACGCTAATATGAGTTTCACGACAGCAATGCGGGAACTCAAAGCTGCAGGAAGGGGTTCTACTGACAACTTTCCCTGTATTTCAGAAGACATGAAAATGATGTATTCTCTACACATGCGCCCCGATACCCCTCACGGCCTTTTCAGTAAGGTACAGTTTGAAATACGGCTGTATTTCTGTCCCCGCGGTGGAGAAAACATTGCAAAAGGACTAAACATACATTTCCCATGTCTGTAGACCAAAATGGAATAAAGTATGTGGTGAAAACAAGAGATGAACTGACAAAAAATCGCCGAGAAAAAGAAAAGGAAGGTTATACCGGACTAATGCCTGAAAATCAGAACTCACCTTTTTGTCCTTTTGCGTCCTTCGTGAAGTACGTATCCAAGCTTGAACCAAGTCTAGACAGGCTGTGGCAACGTCCGAAGGATTCGTATTGCGATACAGAATCAGTCTGGTAGTGCAAACGTCAAACAGGCAAAGATACTCTCGCCAAGTTCATGACGAATATAAGCAAATCATGTGGATTGTCTCAGATGTACACAAACCACTCCATCAGAACCACAAATGTGACAATCCAAGATCAACTTCTCACCGGCTCAGATCACGGCTCTCACAGGTCATAAATCAATTAGTTCTCTGGCGATATACCACAAAGTTACAGATGAAGAAAAGTTACATATGGGACAAACAATCACAAATGCAGTCCATGGAAATTCCGGATCCGTGCCAGCCTTTTGTGCAGCAGTAACGTTGAAACAACTCGCCATTACAAACGCCGAAGAGCCAAATGAGAGTGATGCCCCTTTGCTAAGGGAGAAAATCCGATTATTGGGCTTCGAAGACTTGTTTACAGACTTTGATGATGGTTTAAATACCGTATGTAAGATCGGTTCAGTGCATATTATATTTCAACAGAAATGAACAGAAAAGAGATTTTGAGAATTCAGTTAGTAAAATAGATTCTGATTACGGTATATTATAAGGAACGTCCCTTGCTTCTACAACAGTATCGCTGCAGTCATCTCCCTTATATTAGCGTCAGCGCGCGCACGGCGTCAGGCTTTCAACACCCAACCCTCCCGCTCAGTAGTAATTATTGGTTTGAGGAACTATTTGGGGGCATCACTTAAGTGTCCGTAGTCTTATCTGCCTCGCAGAGTTTCCATATTCACGACACTTAAGTGTGTATGCTATGCTTCATTGTATTAAAGTTCTAAAGTTTCTCTTTTATATAATCGCCTTTGTCGTTTATAGTTCGAGTTTAGGTGAGTAGGTTAAAAGTAAGTTCATGACTTTTCTCTTTTCACATTTTGCAGTTGTGCCTGCGTTTCATCTTCACTTGTGTAAAGGACATGTTGTGTACTACGCTAAATGTGTCAATTTCTTATGTAAAACCTGTTCTAGCAAAGCAAAACGTTCAAAGGATAAAAAATAACTTATAGGTATCATGCACGTATCATGATATGATTAAGAAATACAGTTTGCTCTACCACAATGTATAGTGTAATAAATCACAATTTTGCCCTGAACTATTATAGTTAAAGCACGAGGACGCTTTCAGGGTGTTATCTAAAAGATAGCAAAACATACATCATAATATTGAGACTGTAAGCAGCAGGATATGATTATCGTGTTTACTCCTACACAACCAACCTTCACTGCAAGAAATCACCAAATATGTACAACAGACGTATGACATCACAACCGGTGATCGAATTTTCACGAAATGGCGTGTTTTCTGGCGCCGATAATGAACGTTGTCGTTCTGCATGATGGACGGAAATTTTTACAATTTCGTTGAAATTCACCAAACCATTGTAATGTATCTATTTTTAATTTTCAAAATTCATGCTTAAAAACTCTTCCCATGCATATTCTTAAAATATTGGGCCAATGTATGCAACGAATAGACGAACAGATTTCTTGAAATTTGAGAAAATGCGACACCGTGTAAGATCTGAATTTTTCTTTGTTTACATTTCAAACAAGCGCTGCCTCACAAGCACAGCGTCCGTTTTCAAACCCAATATGTTTCGTTTGATTTGTCACTTGGTGACAAAGACCATTTGTTATTTATTCTAAAATGCATGAGGAAATCAGTGATGTATTTGTCGCAGCTGAATGTGAAATATACGTCATGTAATGGGTGTCTCATGACCGGCCTTCGCGAAACGTGATTTTGTAAACAATATGGCAGAAAGCTCACTTCGGCGTTCGATTTCGTGTATTTTCGATAAAAACATCCCAACCGATTCTTGGTTTATCGGCAACGTTACAGAATTGTCATTGGTGATTAGATGAAAATCTCGTCGGTGATCATGAAAGTGCTATTTTTGAAATTCGGTACTCCGATTAATTCTTCGGTTTTTACATTTTAAAACATACACGAAATAACTCCGTGAATCGCGATTTCGTAATGTATGAAAAATGGCGACATTTAGAGCGGCTTCGGGTATTACCGAACAAGTCTACGGAACAGAATATAATTCCCGTATTGTTTTCTCAAGTCGCCAATCGTGACAGCAACGTTTTCTCGCATGCCTTGAAAGAGAAACTTCCTCTGCCGGAAGAGTTATCGTCTGCTTCTAAATCAAAAGACGCAGAGGAAACAAATAACAAAAGACAAGCGACGGGCATTGCATCCTTAACGTGGTGGGAAAAGCCAAAAACTCAATAAACAATAACTCCAATTGTCACACGAAACATATAAAATATTACTGATGGCCTGATATATAGATACACACTGCGTGATATATTTAGAATAATATGGTACTTCAAAGTGAGGGTTGAAGAGGAAGGACATATATATCTCCCTCTGGCATCCAAGGGGTTACACCCTATACATTTAGTTTGACTTCTTGTAGATACTTGGTATTGGTGACAAAAATGTATTTTTTATGTTAAAATAAAATGTATAAGGAATTTCATGACGTATTTCCGCTGATCTACGTGATTTAACTGTAACGGGCGTCTCATGGCCGTCCTTTATGAAACGTGATTTTGTAAACGTTGTCCAGTATTGCGGAAAGCTCACTTCGGCGATTCGAACTTGGTCTACCGAAGACTTTGCAGAGTTAACATTAGTGTTTTAAACAAAAGCAAATATCACTTATATATGCTAGCTTTAAGATTCAATCCTCCGAGTAATTATCCGATTTTCACATTTCAAATCACTCACGAAATAACGCCGTGAATCGCAACTTCGGTAATGTGTCCAAAAGGGCGACTGTAACCATCTTTCAGAGATCATATTCATCACTTTCGCTTTGCATAAGATGTTAATGGACAGCAAATGTTAATGGATAGTCAAGAAACAGCAAATGTTCCGCAGAAAGAAAAACTTTGATGTGTGTGCATGATACATTTGGAATGTTATTCGACTTCAAAGTGAAGGTTGAACAAGAGGAGCATCAATGTCTAAAGCTCCTCACAGGCATACATCCTTCTCTTATTTAGGTAAAGGAAGGTTGCATTTCGCGTTACTATGGAGCTGCACTTTTATTTTACAATGACGCATAGGTCGGAGTTCAGTGGTGTATTGTTCAACACTGAGTTAATTTGATTTTGAAACATTTCTAATACTAATAAAATACTATTTCAATTCAAAATTTGGCATGTTAACGTCCGCCTTTCGTTGGAAAAAAACTTTCGAATTTACGTCAGCTGCACTTTTATGTGTTACAATGACGTCATAATATAATGACGTCATAGGTCAGAGTTCACAATGTGGTGTATTGTTCTGCTCGCCCGCTGGGACAAAGATCGCGCTTGTGTTTTCAGACAGTTTATGAGATAATTACTCCACACAGGCATTACATATTCTCCAGGTGAGCACTAGGAAATACTGGGATGTTTTGTAGAGGTTTGTATATACGTGTGTGACATCCAGGAAGCTAACAATGTCGTCTGTCGTACCTGTTGGGAGACAGAAGGACATTTTATCCATGTCGCCACCTGCCTGTCCCCCTGTGTCTTCCTATGGATGCAGTCCTCGAAAAGCAGAGCAGCCATCTGGACTGAAGACCTGCTCAGACACGCGGCAACGCAGTGATGCGTCACGTAGTGACAGCGTAATTAATTCCGAGGACTACCAGTACATCATGTCGACCTCGGTATCTGACCTAGGGTCCTCCCAATCGTCATCCAACACTAGTCTTCGGAGAGGACCTAGAACGTCTTCCAAGACACGAGATGACATTTCCGTCAATTCAGAAGACAACAAATCCATCACTGAGACATCTGCTTCTCTATCTCACATGCGTCCTCGTGAATCTGTTAAAGCGTCTGCTTCATCCTCTAGGAGTCATCACAGCAGTCCTCATGAATCTGCAAGAGCATCTGATAAAGCAGATGACTGCTGCTACACTTCAACTCCGCCAGTTCCGAGATCTGATTCTGGTTCCGGTCATTCTGTCTGGTCATCTGAGATCCTGGACAGCTTCTCTTCCTCTGACTCTGAGAGTGTATTCGACCCATTCGCGGAGGACCACCTTCAGCCCAGACCTTTCCCCAGGGAGCCATCTGTAGATGCCCAGTTCCCGGTGGCTGAGACAATCTCCGAGATCTCCCTGGCCAACCGAAGCGACGAGTCGTGGTTCACAGGATCCAGGGAGTCGAACACTTTCCACCAGGAGGAGCTCCGTGTGCGCAAAATGATGTTGGATCAGGGCTGGGTCAGTCAGAGACAGCAGTCCATGTCTGACTGGTTGTCCTCTGTTCACGTCTGGGAGGATGATGGTAAGTGTTTACATCAGTAAGGGTAACGCCATCAGATTGGTGAGTGACAGGTGAGTGGATGGGCGAGTGAGTATATGTTTGGGTAAAATTCCTCGTACATCCGAGGGGACGCCATAAATGGGTATCACACCGGGAAAGAGCATTACTTGGATTGAGTTGAAACAGGAAACTACACAAATGAATCCTGACAGTTGTCTTCACACAAAGAGTATTTGCTTTCCTGCTGTCCTCATATATATTTTCTTTGATGCTGATAACGACATAATATTTATGGTATTTTTAATGTTGTGTTTCTGTCTCAAAAGTTGCAAGCAATTTGGGGACGGAGTCGCTTCTGACCAGACTCAAGACCCGGTTCCAGGTGAGAACACTGATATGCCTTCCTGTTGTCAACTTGGGAGTCTGGGGAGAGTAATATAATATGACAATCTCTCAAAAAGGGTAATAAAAGTGGGAAATAGGAATAACTGGACTTAAGTTTCCTTATAATGAAATCCGCTGAAATATAATTTTCTGATTAGACCACGTGGTGGCGCCTGACAAGGGGAAGGGAGACTCGGGTCCAGACCATGAAGAAATCCAGCTCAGGATATGGAGGCGGCACGTGCGGTGGGTAGAGGAGTATTAGTCCTGTTTAGTTTTTACAACAAGCAAAGAACATATTTCTATTTTCTTTAAAGGGAGATAATTCTTCTAACTGTTGAACTGATGAATCTAGAGAAACATGGGTTAAACGATAAACGTTTCACAGTTGAATTTAAACAGAAGAAGCTTGTGTCTGTGACAAAATGTTTTGTTCTGACGCCTTGTTTCCTGACTGTAGGTGGGGACGAGGACAAGACACCACGCAGGGAGAAGCTGCAGAAGAGAGTGCAGAGATTCATCTCCCGGGTGTTCATTTGTGGAGGACTATCACAGGCCTAGACACCATCGGTGTCAGGCCCAGACACAGTGCATGTGTCTGTCAGGCCCAGACACAGTGTTTGTGTCTCTCTACCCAGACACAGTGCATGTGTCTCTGTCAGTCCAAGACACAGTGCTTGTGTCTCCCTCAACCAAGACACAGTGCATGTGTTACTGTCAGGCCAAGACACAGTGCTTGTGTCTCCCTCAACCCAGACACAGTGCATGTGTCTCTGTCAGGCCAAGACACAGTGCTTGTGTCTCCCTCAACCCAGACACAGTGCATGTGTCTCTGTCAGCCACACAGTGCATGTGTCTCTGGACACAGTGCAGGTGTCTCTCTCAGGCCAGACACAGTGCTTGTGTCTCTGTCAGTCCCAGACACAGTGCATGTGTCTCTGTCAGGCCAAGAGGCACACAGTGCTTGTGTCTCCCTCACCCAGACACAGTGCATGTGTCTCTGTCAGACCAAGACACAGTGCTTGTGTCTCCCTCAACCCAGACACAGTGCATGTGTCTCTGTCAGGCCAAGACACAGTGCTTGTGTCTCCCTCAACCCAGACACAGTGCATGTGTCTCTGTCAGACCAAGACACAGTGCTTGTGTCTCCCTCAACCCAGACACAGTGCATGTGTCTCTGTCAGGCCAAGACACAGTGCTTGTGTCTCCCTCAACCCAGACACAGTGCATGTGTCTCTGTCAGGCCAAGACACAGTGCTTGTGTCTCTCAACACAGACACAGTGCTTTGTCTCTTGTCTCTCAACCTCTGACACAGACACAGTGCATGTGTCTCTGTCAGACCAAGACACAGTGCTTGTGTCTCTCAACCCAGACACAGTGCATGTGTCTCTGTCAGACCAAGACACAGTGCTTGTGTCTCCCTCAACCCAGACACAGTGCATGTGTCTCTGTCAGGCCCAGACACAGTGCTTGTGTCTCTGTCAACCCAGACACAGTGCATGTGTCTCTGTCAGACCAAGACACAGTGCTGGTGTCCCAAGGGTTTGCCTGTCAGAACATGTAGCTCTCATATAGTGTATCATTTAGCTGTATTTTGTACATTTTTAATGTGCCTACTTCACTGTGTATATTAAATAGGCATGCCTTATAATGTAGCTATACCTTGTGTATATTAAATAGGCATTGCCTTATCATGAAGCTACAGAATGTGTATATTTAATGGTCATGCCTCATCATGTTGCTACATCTTGTGTATATTTAATAGGCATACCACATCGTGAAGCTAGAGAATGTGAATATTTATGGTCATACTTTATCGTGCAGCTATATCTTGTGTGTATCAAATAGGCATGCCTTATCATGTGGCTACACGATGTATCTATTTAATGGTCGTTTCGTATCTTGAAGCTACAGAATATGGATATTTCATTTTCATATTAAACAAGCATGTATTATCAAGAAGCTACATCTTGTGTATATTAAATGGTAATGCCTTATCATATAGCTATATTTGTGTATATTAAATAGGCATGCCTTATCATGTAGCTAACTCTGTGTATCTTACCATTTAGTTACATCTGGTGTATATGAAATGGTGGTGTCCTACCATTCAGTTACAGCTGGTGTATATGAAATGGTGGTGTCCTACCATGCAGTTACAGCTGGTGTATATGAAATGGTGGTGTCCTACCATGCAGTTACAGCTGGTGTATGGTGGTGTCCTACCATGTAGTTACAGCTGGTGTATATGAAATGGTGGTGTCCTACCATGTAGTTACAGCTGGTGTATATGAAATGGTGGTGTCCTACCATGTAGTTACAGCTGGTGTATATGAAATGGTGGTGTCCTACCATGTAGTTACATCTGGTGTATATGAAATGGTGGTGTCCTACCATGTAGTTACATCTGGTGTATATGAAATGGTGGTGTCCTACCATGTAGTTACATCTGGTGTATATGAAATGGTGGTGTCCTACCATGTAGTTACAGCTGGTGTATATGAAATGGTGGTGTCCTACCATGTAGTTACAGCTGGTGTATATGAAATGGTGGTGTCCTACCATGTAGTTACAGCTGGTGTATATGAAATGGTGGTGTCCTACCATGCAGTTACAGCTGCTGTATATGAAATGGTGGTGTCCTACCATGTAGTTGCAGCTGGTGTATATGAAATGATGGTGTCCTACCATGTAGTTACATCCAGAGTATATTAGGTGGTTGTGCGTGATATATGTGTGTATCTTGTGTAATATAAATGGACGTTGCCTCTCGTGTAGTTAAAAATATAAACAATCAATGGTTTTACAGAGAATATACTGAATTGGGGACAATGTTAAATGGACGTGCCCTTTCATGGAGCTATTTATATATTGTTTATATGTTACAGTGTATATTGAACTTCACTGTTTTACAGAGAAAATATGTAAGTGTCAAATTAAACAGCAAATTACTGAAACCAGGAAGGAATTGCATGGCTAAAAAGCCAAATCAAGTTTAATAATGACCAGGAACATTCTTTAAGATGACGAAATGGTGAAAATAAAATATACTATATTTAGATAGAGCCATGCAGTATTAGAAGCACGTTGTTGAGTCATTGTACCTGAGATGAATGAACTACTGAACCATGGCTGCCTATGGTGAGTGTTTAGAGAAATAGGGAATTGTCATGTAGTTATTGCCATCACGCCCTTGTGATATAATCACCTATAATTAGTTGTGAGTCTGTTTCTGTGTGTCAGCATATTGCAATAAAAGAGTGAATATGAGGCTGCCTTTAGTTTATGATGTGTCTAACTGAAGCTGGCAGTAGTGTGTCCAGTACAACACGTGTCTGTACTCTGTAAGCAAGCATTGTTGTACACAACCCATGTACGATACGTGGCTTGTACAATCTGATGCTACCAGAAGTGCGCCCTGTACAACATGTGTCTATAAGCAAGCAGATGACACTGTTCTGTACATGTTCTTCGAGGGAGGTAAGACACGTGGCCTGTAGAACCTCCTGCTGCCACTAAAGCACCTAGAACAACACGTGTCTGTAAGCAAGCAGATGACACTGTTCTACACACCCGACGAGGGAGTAAAGACAGGTGTTGTACCAGATGTTCTGGCAGCGTGAGGGTCTCATATACCAGGTGTCTTTACTCCCTCGTCGGAAGTGTACAACAATGTCATCTGCTTATTTACAGACAGGTGTTGTTCTAGGTGCTTTAGTGGCAGCGTGAGGTTCTACGGACTAAATTTGTCCTTATCTGACTCTTCAACTTCTGAAAATGCCACTCAGGGAAGTTAATCCACAGTGTTTGATATTGCAGGAATATTGCTAAAATACATACCCATTCACTCTCAATATCCCATTCCATTATGCGTATTACATAATTCCTTAAAGAATTCCTTTATAGTGCCACAGCTGCAAAGGCAACCTGTTTTACATGGTTTATGCAATTTCGTTCCTCGAAAACACAGTTGCTGGTTTGTTGTTTAACGCCGCACTCAGTAATATTCAAGCTTTATGGCGGCGATCTGTAAATAATGGAGTCTGGACCAGACAACCGGGTGATCAACAGCATGAGCATCGATCTACGCAACTGGGATACGATGACATGTGTCAACCAAGTTAAGCGAGCCTGACAAGCCGATCCCGTTAGTCGCCCCTTACGACAAGCATGGGTTAATGAAGAAAAATTCTAACCCGGGTCTGAAAAAAAAGAGAAACACAGTGCCAATGGTCGTTATATGATTATTTTGTACACTCCAAAATAAGAAGTGATATCTAAATAGTATAGTCAGAGGGTACACAAAACACCTGAATGGTTTTACAACAATTAGGGCAGAAGTATTCAAGAACTAGTCACTAACGACAACAGAGCCTACAGACATACATTTTTAACACCTTATTACGGCCTCGAAAATGTCTCCTCTCCACTATTTTCGTTTATTGATTCTAGCAGACTCGGCACACAAAACACCTAAATGGCTTTACAATAATTAGGGCAGCTGTATTCAGGAACTAGTCACTAACAATAACAGGACGTACAGACATACTTTTTAATACCTTTTACGAGCCTAGATAATGGGCCAATGCCCGCTCCACTATTTTCGTTTATTGATTCTAGCAGACTCGGCATGACTGTCCAAATAATTCAAATTTGGGAATAATTACAATAATGACAAATCATCGATAACAACTTTATATTGTCGGTGCGACATTTCGATACAGGTTCTTGTATCATTGTCTAGCAGAATCTGTACCAAAACGTCGCACACACAAATTAAAACAGAAGAAGTTGAGCTTATCGATTAATTTATTCATTATTATACTTCCCCATCTTCTAAAATACCACTCAAAGAAGTAATTATATTAAATTTATGTGTATGTATGGTTTAACTTAAGTTCCAATAGGTCCAATAAGAAGCAAAAAACATTTTGTTACAATAACTCTCAGATCTGATGACTCGAACCCATCTCTCATCTCATACAGGTAAGGATCTAACTGAGAGTTATTTCCCTTTGAGAACTCTTTTAACAATTAAGTTGCGAAATCCATACTTCCGATTTGATTATTACGATGAGGAAAAACAAATTATAATTGGAAATATTTACCGTAGTAGGACAACACAGCAGGCATGGCGACCTTTCCAACAGTTACAGGCTTTCTTCAATTTACTGTTGCCATCATCATCGTCCTTCAGTGTGTTTCACAAACAAACGTATGTAGTTCAATGGCGTACACCCTGAAAGTCCCCTGTAGGCTGTACTGTCATGTGATCGTAAAGTGGATCACATTCTGGTACAGATACAAATTATGTGTGGTTTATTATTAGCCGTAATAAATGTGTATTTACTGTCAAGGTGCCCTTTGCTTTGCAATTCACTCTGACAACCGAAAAGATAAAAAATATGCATAAAAAGAAAACATGAGAAAGGCACCTTCGACGACAGTTCGTCTGTTCATCGTGTTTACATGGGAAGAAATAGTAAGAAAATCACTCAGCCTACTAAGAGTTTTAAAGGGATTGCTGAACTTCACCAGGGACACTTTTTTTCAAAAAGGGGTCCATTACCCCAATTATCCTGATGGAGTCCTTAAGTGGAAGGGGCTCCAAGGGCCAAGGAAACTACCCTATCTTTAGCACATCTAGTTCATAAGAATAAATTCGTACACCTTGGTATAGTGCAAAGTCGTCTAGTTATATGCTGGACTATAGCACATCCACCCCTAAGGATTGTGAGATCAGTGAAGTGAGAGCCACAGCGTACAATTGCAGCAATTAGCATTATGAATACCCTTTTGAAAAATCAAACTTCATTTGTTTGGGTGGTTTAATTGTTTGTTTTAATTGTTCAGAGGTTTTTACTTTTGTACCACATGGTCAACAAGATCGGCAATATTTTCTGGTAAATGTGGGCATTCTTTTATAAGATGAAAATGTCCATTAATTATTTTCCAAACAAATCATGTATGTCTAAACATGATAAGAAAGCAAGCTGTAAATTGCTACCTGATTACATTTATCATGATAAGGCAATGTAAAAAAACATTTGCTCTTGGAAATATTCCTATGGGTTTAACAATCATTTCTGTCTAACAATGATAATATTGTTATGTTGCAGGCTAGTTATGAAGATGCACGATGCAAATGTGTTTGTGATTTAGAAAGAAATGGAACAAAACCAGAACGGACAGTTTATGTACAAACAGTAGGAAATCAGGAATGGTAAGTTCAACTTTCAAAATAGTTTGTTATATATTTTTGGTTGATTATGTTTAGACCATGTAAACAGCTAGGGAATTAGCTCATGCAAGTTACTTTTCAAGACCTTTATATTGAGAATGTGGAGATTGGTGATTTAAGCATATTAGAAATTGGAATCTCATCAGTATTTCTGCCATGTTTTGATCAAAACTGAATGGGCAATGACAAGGGAAGGAGTGTCGAAATTGGTCACACAGGCACAAGTGAACTGAAGTGACAAAATACAGGGCATAGTTCAGCTTACAGAAATAAAGTTTATAACCAACAAGACTCCCCACAAAAAGGCCTATCAATGATCATTATTATTATTTTCAGTTTGTAATTTGTGAATAATAATTCATATATGACATGTATCATTGTAAAGTAGACCTGTTTTTTCTTTTAGTAAATTTGGGGTCGACTGCATTCAAGAATTGCCTTTTGACTGGCTATATCAGCAGATAATCAATTTGAGTGTCCAGATCTATCATTGTACAAATTATTTGATCAATTGCGTCACAACTAGTGACAAAGCAATGCTTATGTTTGCAGCAAGTGTGACACTGTGGCACTCCCAAAGAACCCTGAAATCTTTTGTCCACGATGTGAATGTTCCAAGGAGAGTAGAAACACCACAACTATCAAGGTTGGTTGATCATGTAATTGAGTTTGCTTCACGTTATTCAAACAAGTGTTGTTCCTTAACATAGGGGCAGTGGGGTAGCCTAGTGGTTAATGCATTCACTCATCACGCGGAAGACTCGGGTTCGATTCCCGACATGGGTGCAATGTGTGAAGCCCATTTATGGTGTCCCCGGTGTGATATTGCTGGAATATTGCCTATGTGACGTGAAACTAAACTCACTCACTCCTAAACATATACATGATAAAGAAAGTAAACAAAAACATCTGTTGATCATAAGCACAATCAATTCTGTTGACAATGAGTATAAAATGTTTTGAAAAAAGCATGTTATATACTTTGAAATGTCACTTCTCATAAGTAAGACTTTTAACATTTAGAATAATAAACCAAGATTTACAAGTATGAGCCTTCATTGTACAGTGAATGAAATCTATTCCTGTTGCCCTTGCTAAATTGCATAACATATCATAAGGATGAATAGAAATTTGCAGTTTTCAAGGCTTTTGCTTAACAATCACTGAACAAAACCTATTCCTACACATCAACACTCTCATCACTGTGTTCCAGGTGGTGGTGATCTTCATCATCTGCGTGGTGTCGCTGCTGATGGTGTACATGCTGTTCCTGATGTGTCTGGACCCTCTGATTGCACGTCGACCCGCACACTATCAGGAACATGCAGACGAGGAGGTGAATTTGGTAACAAGTTTTGGCTGCGGCTCTGTTCCTTGCTTCTTTAACACACTAACATTCAGCCTCAAGCATCAAACAGCATCTCACCTGTTGTGTCTACATCTATGGCAACAATGCCTTATGTGCTCTCAAGTGTATTCTCTCTGTATGCTCATAGTGATTTTCAGGTATTTGGGGTTTTGGGGTGGGAATACCAGTATCTGACAATTATAAAAAATATTTTTATAAATGCTGAAATTTGAGCCACATGCTTGTTAATCATAAAAATTATCATGGAAAAAGCCTTGTTTGAAAATTACAGCTTATCGAACAACAGATAAAGAGGAATATTTGAAGATTCAGTCATGTCAAATTTGAACCAGTCTGTTAAGAGTAACCTCCCTTCGTTGCATCATCACTAATTTGTTTTATGGGAATTATTATATGGGTTTTAAAGTTTTAGGTGTTAGGGATGCTGTTTGATGCTTAGGTTGAACAGAACATGTGTTCAGAATTAAATTGTTTGGTGTTGTTTTATAAGAGCGTTTTCCTGTGCTCTCAGCACCTGTTTGAGATGTGTTGAACTTGAATAACCTTCCTAATCTAGCATAATTAATTCAAGTTAATATCAAGGGTATATATTTCTTAATTTATGAAGGGTATTCATACCAGTCCAAAAGAAAATCTTGATTCTGGCCAGTAATGTTTAACTATAATAAAATGAAGACAGTCCTCATTTACTTGTATCCAGTGCTTTGTATCTTCCTTTTGTCCTGATCAGTTCCATGGACCAATTTGCAACCAAAGTTTCATTTAGGAAGTGACATCATTGCCTCATTAAGGAAACAATTTCTCTCCTTTATGAGGGCGGTGGGGTAGCCTAGTGGTTAAAGCGTTCGCTCGTCACGCCGAAGACCCGGGTTCAATTCCCCACATGGATACAATGTGTGAAGCCCATTTCTGGTGTCCTCCGCCGTGATATTGATGGAATATTGCTAAAAGTGGCATAAAACCATACTCACTCACTCACTCACTCTCTCCCTTATGAGTGGATTTGATTGGTTATATTTAGCAGGATATAGTTTGGGAATGGGTCACAGGTATTCATCATTAATGCATTGAAGTGGTATAACCTGGATTGTCAAGAATGAAACAACACACAATTGTGATATAGTATTTCAGAGTCATGGAGTTTCTAACTTATGATATTGATTTGGAAGCCTTCAGGGTATATCTTAATCCTTCCAGATTCATTTCTTGTGGATTACTTTCAAGCATTGAAAAAAGACTTTGCTTCCCTATGTCAGAGCATATAATATTTACTGATTTTGTTATTGTTTTATGAAGTTCAACATGTCTGAAATAGGCTATCACTTTGAAACATAAAGTACAATATTTCCTTAATCAAGTCAAGGTGTTTTATAAAGATGTCTTAAAGATATCAATTGATGATAAACACCTGATCACATGTTCTAATGCATTCTCTGTGCATGATGTTTATCAGTGTATTTCTAGTGTAGTGAGTCACTATGTCCTCATCTCACACTAGTCTGCATATCACTCTAATGAAGCTAACTGTTAGATGTGTAGCTCTCCCTTCAGCCGCACTGTTGACAGACCAGCAATAGTCTGTGTCTGTGTTTGGTGTTGGTCATGTATTGAGGTCAAAGGTTGAGGTGAAGGTCATTCATTGCATGTTATGCCAGACAGACCAGGAATAGTCTGTGTTGGTGTTGTCATGGATTGAGGTCAAGGGTGGAGGTCAAGGTCATTCACTGCATGTTATGACAGACAGACCTGGAATAGTCATGGTGTGTCTGTGTTTGGTGTTTGTCATGTATTGAGGTCAAGGTCATTCATTGCATGTTATGCCAGACAGACCAGGAATAGTCTGTGTTTGGTGTTGGTCATGCATTGAGGTCAAAGGTTGAGGTCAAGGTCATTTATTGCATGTTATGCAAGATGGAAGAGTATCTGACTTGTTTTATATGCTTCATTAGAATGAAGCCTTGTCCTAGAATCTGTTCTATGCCATTTATCATTTTATAGTAGATAAATACTCTTTGTAATGTCAAGTATTATTAACTATTACAGTTCAGGGCAAACATATACGTTTCTACAGGGGTACTGTATTTCTCAATATAATGGGTATAACTCTTATGACTCATTCTCGATACAGGTTCATTATTATGCTTTTAGTATTGATTCACAACACACAATATGGTTATTATAGTTATCAGGACGGGTTAATTTAGAAACTTAGTCAATATTACTTTTTGAAAATCAGTACAGAAGTTATGCATGAATGTAGATGTGGGTAGCGATATATTTAGTCTGTCTCCCAGACCCTGTAGAATAATTCAATTAGACTCAAATTTTTTGATATATTTAGATATATTTGAAGATATATATTTTTAGATAACTTATTTCTATGACATTCGTGACCAAATCGTGTTATTCCAGGACAAGCCGAATAGCAACTTGTGCCCCTCTGGAAGGATTTCATATTGGCGCATGAATATCAGATTACTTAAAACAAGAACGATAACTCTATTCCTGTTTGATTCCAGTGGTACTTAATATCACCGAAGCCCTTGTACATTATATTGCTGTCATTGTTTTTGCTTATTTTAAATAATTAAACCTAGAAGTAGAAAAACATATTTGTTAAAGACATATTCTAACATAATTATTACCAGCTGTTCACCTTATATTTCTAATTATATTTTTAAATAGGGTTTAATAATCACAAATGGGATTTGTCTTATTGAATATACAAATAAAATATTAAAAATTCAGCTACATTAAATCCCAAAGCAGATACTGTAAATCAACAAACTAATGCGTGTATTAAATAATGCGAGTGCAAACCTCAAAACGAAAATGCGTGTATTTATTAATGCGAGGAGGCAAATCAGGAAATGGTTGACCAGAATGACTATACTCACTAATGACTACACTCACAACTTTGGGAAATACTATTCTAGTATTTAATCCGACTCTAGTGTAAACATCTTAATTCCCCGAACACATGGGCGTTTGGATCAAAGACGGCTTTCCTTTCAACTGTTAGTACTAGTAATTGACAGTAGACAGGATGATCTCAGTTTGTAATCTCAACACAAAAGACGATGACAAACCTGTTGATTTGAGGATTAGCGTCACAAAACCTGTTCATGCTCGCTGGATGCAATTAAAAAGGTAGGCAGAAATCGTGAGTTAATCTTACGTGGATGGCAGTTGGCATGTCTGCTGGACGTGGTCCAGTGAGTTCAAACCATGTAAACTAGACTGTTTATTCAAAGACTGTAATACAACTTAAATGATTAGTGCTCAATTTTTCTTCTCCAGAATGTCTTTTACTTGTTGATATAATATAATGTCTATGTTATTGTGTCAATAAAGGAATTTTTGTGAATCAATCATTCGTCTTTGTTCACTGGGTTATCGTGACCCAAATACTAGTAATAACGATATCGAGTGCAAAAGACAATATAATAATGCAAGATTTATTAATGCGATTCAGATATAGTCGCATTTTTCGCATTCATAAGTAGCTCGCATTATTTTATTGATTTACAGTACTCAAAAATTACTTTTAAATATTTCTCAAACTGAACATTCGTGTAACCTTGCTGTTCAAATTGCATGTGGTCAGTGATCGAAGTTGTGTATTGAATATTGTCATTAGCAGACAGGCAGGCAGACACATAGGCATCAATAAAACAGACATTGAGTTTTGTCTGTGACAAAGGCATATCTATATCACAGTTCGAAATTCTGACAATGCTAAATAATGACATTGATGTTAAGTATCGAACTGAGAAAGTGACTCTGTAAGAAGAGCGTGTGGTGAAATAGTCAAATGAAATTGAATAAACAGTTAAATTGGTAATCTCCTGTCATAACATAAAAAACTGTAAATATCAACAAAACATTCGTAGGATTTCCGTCTTGAAATGTCGAACGCCTCACTGGTTGACACATAGCTAAGTAGATCTAGATCCTTAACAAGGTTCTTTTATGTAATGAGTAGATTATTTACTATTAATCCGGACATCCCGCTTCCAAGTTGCACGAACCTATTCACTGCGCATGCGACACGAGCGCAGTGCAGCACAGCTGTTGAAACCACTTTTCACCACTTTGAACTCTGATTTCGCACGCCGGGGGTGGGGGTGGGGGGTTAAGTTGATTAGTTACATATAGATATAATATTAACCTCACGTAATCAATATTCGGCACGGTATGCGGTATTAACAAGGTACGTGAAAATCAACAATTATACAAACCTGCATCAATATAAAATGTTTATAAAAACATAAGATTCAGCCTTTGACTCATCGCTATCGTAGCGGGACGAAGCCATCATCCACACCGCAGTATCTAGGTCAGTTGCGCGCAAAGTCATAAATATTCGTGATAGCTAAAATCTGGACAAACAGTATTGTGAATAGTTTACGCCAAAATCTGATACCGATGTAATATTGAAGTTCACGTCTCACATTGCTGATAAGAAGGTTTTTGTCAGGAAATGTTCAGAATTTGTCTAATTTTGCGTATTTTTATAAAAAAGACGCACTTAAACAAGAATAAATTCGAGTAATCTTGAATGAAAATTTAAAAAATATTCAACATCACTTTGGAGACTTTTACTGAATAAACACAAGCATATTTTCATAATTCAATAATTAAAACTATTTGATTTGATCATATAAAGTCATTATAATTGCTTTTACTTAGTAACTTTTCATGAAAATGTGTTGTAAAGTTATAAGGATTGTGTCTTAAATGGGCTTCCATAATTATTTTTCCCAGGCAACACCCCTACTTCTGGGGTCATGACCTTTCAGCTTTACCATTCACCAATGCAGACGACCGGTAGATCGGTGCTGTCATGAATAAAAACTATTTTTTAGGGCTCATTTTTCTCGATGTTTTCACATTAGTGCAGAAGCATAAAAATATGTTTGCTAGAAAACTTGGGATAATAAACTCTCCTTTGAAACTTGTGATTTCAAAATTGTGACTAGTCTGATACATGTTGGTGGAGGCTCTTAACTGGTGGTGTTACAGATGGATGGATTCAGCTGTTTATGTCGGGTTGGAGATATATCCCATGAGTTAACAAAAACCTGTCTGATGAGGCTTTGAGTCAGGATATTGTCAGTATTTCACTGTTGCATTTGTCTCCGCATGGTTTGTGTCATGGTTAGTAAATTTTCTCCTGTCAGTGCTTGTTCAACGACTTAGTAGGTCTCTTGTAGATAAGAAAATCATTCAACTTTGTGGATATCAACCTCTGGTTTATTGGATACAGAGACTGTTCGAGACTGTAGATTCTTACACTGTTACCAAGTCAACCAGTCTGCTCAATGCCAGCTGATTGAGTCAAATTCATAGCAGCGAAAGAATCTTGATTGAAATGTCTAAACACAAAAAACAGAAGTTGCTATCTGTAAAGTTGTATGTTTTCTTCTTTACTCTGCCAGTTCTAGAATACCTGTCAAACACTTGCTGTTTTAGTAATCTAAGGCGGCAGCTCTGCTTCTCTCTATACTTCAGGATTGTTGACCTCCTGGTAAAACTCTGAGTGATAACTGCTGAAATAGGAAGGAAGCAACAACAACAACAAATATATTAATGGTTGTTCTTATTAACATTGTGTTTTGTTGGCCATGTCCTTGACCATACCCAGGTGAACTGGAGTGCCATGGCTATAGTTTTAGGTTAGTCAGTGAAAAAAGTTCAAAGGACACATGAAATAATTTGTCTGACATCTTTATAGTTGTCTGCTTTTAAGATCAATGAAGAGAGTAAGATGACAATGTCACCATGGTGTTTCATAGCAGAACTATAGTTTTAATGTGGGTGTTGACACTGTTGGTGTTGGTCTCCCAATTGTATCACTGCCGATGGTATTTGGACCACACCACATTTGTTACCGCATATAGTCTATTTTGGCAGCTGAAGATTAAATTATCAGTAGGATGAGAGGTTTGCGACTCGATCATGCTGATGAATCTGAAATATATATTGTAGGCAGAAATGTCAAAATGAGATAAAGTCAGATGTACACTGTACTGGATAGTTTGAAATTGTCCGTCAAAAGGAGAACATGGTAGCATTTGCTTCAAAAGGAGACAGTCGGAAATTTAATCAATTTGAAGAGGCACGAATGGCCATGTTTTCTTGTGCATGCAATTTTCAGTGTGAAGTTGTATCTTAGCTGTTTGGATTTACCATGATTACTGATAAACAAGGGTACACACCACATATTTGGACAGTTTGTGACCTATGTAAAACGGGAGAATCCATCTTCATTGGAGGGGAACTGAGTGAGTGTGGAAATCATAATCTGTAATCATGCACAATATAATTTGACTTGACACATGCACTGTACCCCACAAGCAAACCTTCCACCCCGTTGCTGTTATCTGCTGCACAGATTACATACATCTTTAGTTTCAGGACTCAAATATTCTTTTATCCATGAAGTTCTGAGTTAGAATTGGTCTTCAGTATCAGATGCTTGTCATAGGAGGCGAGTAACAGGATAGGGGAGTCAATCTTGCTGTCGTGTTTGACACGTCATCGGTTCCCAATTGCGTAGATCGATGGTCATGATGTTGATCACTGGTTTGTCAGCTCCAGACTCAATTATTTACAGACCGCTGCCATATAGCTGGAATATTGCTGAGTGTGGCGTAAAACTAAACTCACTCACTCAAATATTCTTTAGTATATGTTGCAATAAGATCCTTCTGTGTGTCTATTTTAGCATCTTAGGCTGTGAAATGATTATGAAGTATAAATCTGTCGATTAGTTAGTGGGTTTTCCAACTTCAAAGGTTGTAAATGACTAGGACCTTACTTTGGGCATTTCTCCCACATTAAGCTCAGAATGATATGATGCTATGATATTGTTTGATGCAGTTGTAAGTCCAGAGTGTCGTTTTGAGTGGTCGATATATGTATATTATTGTTGTCTTTATTGTAACAGCATTATTATTGTTATCATTGTCATTACTGAGTAGATCTTTGATGGGCATTTAGAAGTGGAATGCATAGGAAAAGCAAGATTTATGGATGTCAACTTCTTTATTGTGAATAACATGATTTTCGGAGTGTATGCTTGCTTCTTCATCAAGCAATAATTCACAATAAAAAAGCTGACATCCATAAATCTTGCTTTTCGAATTATTGAATAGGCCTTTTATGTTCATGGCATTCACTATTTCCAAGCACATTACAGGGTACAACAGCCCACATATGTTTTGCATACAAGACACAGCAGGCTGACTCTTGTCGATGTTATGTCTTCGGCTGATTATTGTTCCAGCTTTATTTATGTCCACAACCACCTACTCATTTCTTGGAACCACCTATAATTTGTAGACCATTATGTTTCTTGAAACAATCATTCTCTTATTCCCCTGCATGTGTTGTCGGCCATGTTGTGTGTTCCCTATTTCTGATGGAAGGCTGTATATTTCCAGGATGACCTGAGCATGCCCCGGATGTCGCCGCTCGAGACGGCAGCAGCAGCGTCAGCATCCACGCGGCAGAGGTCAATCCTCAATCGCGTGTCCGATGAGCAGAAGAAGTGGAAGGGGACTGTGAAGGAACAGAGGAAACACATTTACGACCGCCATTCCATGCTGAACTGAAGCCGGCAAGGAAATAATGATCCAGAGCAGATTATTGGCTGAATCTCAACAAGCACTACATCACTTACCATCAACCCAGGTGTAGCTTAAAGTACCTTCAGTATTTCTGGAAGTTGAATAAATTGTTACTGTTAGTTATCATTGAGGAAAACATGGTGACGAGTCCAAGATCTTTCACAGTTAGAGATGTCTGAGGGTTAAAATTCCTATATTATGTCAGGGAGTTGAATACGTTACTTTTAATTCAAACTGCTGAGGATAATATGAAGGGGATCCAGGACTTTTCAGTGTTATTGGTATACCTGTGTGTAGCTTCAGATACTTCCCTCCGTGAAGCTATCAGACTTATTTAACCTTGTTATGGCTGTATGACTGTTATACTCAACATCTTCTAATGAACATGATGAAACCACTGAACATGTTCAATATTATGCATATATTCAAACACAGGTACAGCTTTTCTTCAGAAGGGTGTCCACAATGTTTTTCAACATGCTTTTAAAAGTGTTTAATGATCTTATATCATTCATTTGACAAACAAATTGTGCTTGTGAGCCGCAAATGATTCAAATAATTCTTAGGTTTGCTGAAAACGTCATTAAATGTTTCAGCAATGTGTTTTTTATACATCACATGATTAGCATGCTTCAAAGCGGGATGAGTGGAGTGATATGATATTCGAGAAAGCTGTTCTTCAGTAAGACACTTTGTGATATGTGACTTTAGTGTGTCATGAAACATATACATGAACATAAAAGCACAAGCTTATTCTCTTATGTTATGGGTCTGATGTACTCTGTGTTTATGGATACAGTTCCTTTATCAATTTTATATGTATCCCTTTCATAAAATTCCAAATGAGTACATGTTAATCAAAATACATTTGTGAGACTGAATGAGGCATGATATAGTGCCGTTATCTAGTTACCTCCCTTCACATGTCTGTATGTAACCACAAAGATAGTAACTCTCAGGGATAGATATTCCATCCCACTGTACTAAGCCAGTCTCAATAATATTAAAGGTATCTTAAGGGCTTGTAGAATGTCTAACCCTTTGGGAGATGTTCCTACATCTTACCTTTTGTCTTGAGAGTTACTTCTCAGGTTAATTTTCTATCCCTGAACAAAGGATCATTAGCTGATAAAACCATTAAGACATTTACTCTGAAACACAATTCCTGGTAGAAGTGTAGATATTGGTGGCACCGGCGGCGCTGTGATATTGTCTGTAACTAGCATTCTTGTTGTTCTGCAGACGTTATGCTTGCAAGGGAATGTTTGTTTAGACAGTTAGCCCAGACGTTATGCTTGCAAGGGAATGTTTGTTTAGACAGTTAGCCCAGACGTTATGCTTGCAAGGGAATGTTTGTTTAGACAGTTAGCCCAGACGTTATGCTTGCAAGGGAATGTTTGTTTAGACAGTTAGCCCAGACGTTATGCTTGCAAGGGAATGTTTGTTTAGACAGTTAGCCCAGACGTTATGCTTGCAAGGGAATGTTTGTTTAGACAGTTAGCCCAGACGTTTTAAAGGTTGAATTATGAATCCACAAACTCAAAAACACTTTAAATGAAAAATGAAAAGCAGTGTATTTATAGTCTGCCAACCAGAATTAAGTAAATGTTTATAAAAACAAGCACACTTACTGCTGCGTTTAGCATGTGTAAATCATCTACAATGCTATTATTATGCAATGTTTTATAATCTTAAAACTTCAAAATACCACTGTGATGAAATCCAGTTCCTCAAACCCTCAACAATATTTGAAATTGAATATTAGTATATAGTATTACTAATTTATTTGACCTACGAACCAGAATGTGCAGGCCAAAGTTTATGCCATCTGTGGCTTGTGTAAATCTGAGAAATAAGTTGGACTGTACTTGCCAAATTCTTTAACAAGCAGAGATAACTACCATTTATTCTGCATATATTGTCTTGTTACGTCAGAAACCTTTCTAAAATGAAGGTTTACCAGTCACATACAAATATACATTACTTTGATCAACTTTGGATACATGGCTCTGTAACGATGTCTCAGTGCTCATGGCCACTTGCATCAAATCCAAACAGCTGAACGTACGTATTTACATTTTTAGTATCTGCCTAGTCATGTATGGTAGTTATGCTTAATGTATTGTGACGTTATCTGACTAGTCTGAAGGATGACAAAAGCAAGATAATGTATATCTGCTACATAGACTGTCCATAGTACAACTAGAACTGTTTGTCTAGGTGTAGATCTGCGCATCACTATCCAAGTTTGTACTGTGAATCTGCATTGTCTTTATATAGTACAATTAATAATGTCCTTATCACTCAACAGTAGGGCTGCAACATATCTCGTATTACTATTTAGGAGATTTTGATACTTATTATTAATATCATGAATACTGGGTAACAAATACAGATATTTGGTAATGAATACTATAGGAAGTTGGCAGTTGATGTATTATTCATTATATTAAGTGAAACAATAACAATATATACTCTTTGACCATGTGGACAGTGTTAATTTATCACGACACCGACCATTGACCACATTACTGTCAAATATATGAGTGTCTGCCTGGATTGGATATATTTCAGTTTGCATATCTCATTTGATAAATAATACCCAAATCAAAGTCAAACCACTCGAGTTTAAACAATTTATGAATATTTGATAGTGATCGCAAATAACAAATTCAATTCATAACAGGACACAGTTTGAATCCAAGAAATGTGAGTGACTCATTACAGCCCTACTGAACAGTATGACAGCATTAGATATGATCACATTAGATATGATCATAAGTCCACTAGTCTATGATTAGCAACAGTAAGGCAGACTGGTACATAAATGTTCAGTGTAGCGTGTAACCGTTATCACTTAGTGACATATGAAGCTGTATTACCCTGGTTGAAAATCTGAGTTGTTTTCCTGACTAGGCTAAAATCATGTTTTATGATATTGAACATAATTTCCATCGATGTACTATTCTTGGATATGTAACTATATGATGTAGTGAGTAATATGTGGAGAGGTACTAAAAACATTATTTTTCCTGATTTGTACATTGATCGTGCTGGTTGTGACATTCCAAAGGGAAAATATATAATCTTTTTCTACTTTCCTTCTGTCAAATGCCTATTTTTCCATATGGTTTGTAACTGGTATGTAGAGTAACAAGAAATGGTAAACAAATAGACTTAAGTGTGCAAGTGCTGTTTATAGTGCAGGGCATAGAGATGTAAATAATGGATTCAGTTAAAATATTTTATAGCAGTAAGGGTTTTTCTTAACATTTAACATCCAAGAATTGATATCCACTTAACAAATTGTGATTTAAATATTTGAGTGCCACATACTCCCTACCATTCATCTGGAAAAGGAGCAAGCATATACTCCAAAACGTGTTACTCACAATGAAGAAGTTAACGTCTTGTTAAAACTAGATTTGATAATCAGTATTGGACAATGTAACATGTTTTATTGAAAAATTTAAGAAATCCGTAATAATGAGTGGAATATTTATAACGCGCCTTTCCAGGCTTCATATCAATCAGTCATGAATGCATACATCAGCAATTCTTCAGTAGCTTGGGTCATGATTTGAATCAGAATTCTTGTACAGTGTGTGTTAAATGTGTAAGAGTGCTGGTGGAGGAGAACCCTTATAGAAGCATCACCCCCAGCTGTGGTTAAGTTTGAAAACAGAACTCTTCTGTTGTATAGTGGTTTGTGTACATACAATGTATCTTGTGTCATCTGAATGTCACATTTTGTAATAATCCAAACATTCATTGTATAATAAATGTCAGTATTAAGATAATCAGTTTGTCAGGAGTGTTTTCTTTACGTGTACATGGTGTAGAGAGTGCTTCCAGGATAGGAGTCTAGTCATGATGCAAGAGTGGATTGGAGATTGTGTGGCCACAATGGATGAAGACTGTGGACCACGAGGGAAGGACATCTGTGACTGCCTGATTGCATGCCTTTATACCCAGGTGGTGTTGAGTCAATGCCCTCACTATGACCATAGTTCATCATGCAGTTTCAAAGCCATATAATTATTCTTGATGTGGGTGTGGCAGAAACTTGACCATTTGAGTGAGTTTAGTTTTACGACACACTCAACAATATTCCAGCTATATGGCGGTGGTCTGTAACTAATCGAGTCTGGGCCAGACAATCCAGTGATCAACAGCATGAGCATCCATCTACCCAATTGGAATACAATGACATGTGTCAACCAAGTCAGTGAGGCTGACCGCCCGATCCCGTTAGTCACTTCTTACAACAAGCATGGGTTACTGAAGGTCAATTCTAACCCGGATCTTCACGGGTATACAAAACAGCAACAACAAGTAAGACAAAATTAAGTTTGGATGCTTTATTCAACATGATGCTTACCATTATGTACATGACTTGATGGCCACAAACAGGTCAGCTTGCTACAACCTCATCCTGGTGGAAATACTGGCTTCTTACAACATATTCTAACATCTCCTCAAACACCCTCCCAGTAATTGTATCTTCACAGGCCATTACACATCTATTAGTCTTGGATATATTGCAAAAAAGTGATTACATGACTCAAATTAATTCTAAACAGTTCTCAACAATATTTTCCTGATGACTATTCCATGAACTTGACTGACAGGATGTATTTGTGAGGTGTTTTCTCTCAAATACTAAACACAGTTAACATTCACATTCTTTTGCTTCCAATATTGAATCCAGACACATACAATAAGTGTGTCAGCAAGTAGCATTTGATGGACTGTGAAATGTCAACATTTCCAACGAATGTAATTAATTGTGGCTACATTTATGTCAATGGCTGAATAAATTGAACAGTATGATACACAAAGTACAATAGAACAGTTCAAAATAAATAACCCTTGGCTAAGATTTCAAATCTGGGTATATTTAATCATACAAATATGTTTAACATAGAACAAACACTAACAAACAAAAGTTTAAATATATACCATATCAGACTTAGTCAAATCATTTAATCATTTTCTCATAGAGATATCTCCCTATTCTAAAATCAATGTATAACATGACTGTCTTAAGGAGATATTTTCAGCAGAATGGTGTACAAGTACTGCATACAAAAATACATGAGTACTAGTAAATACAGTTAGTAAACAGTAAATGACAACCTATAAATCTTACTGTATGATTACTATCATTATGACACCATAAGGTCATCATGACCACAAGGTCAAGGCCATGACACCTGTATGAAGGTTAAGGCCATGGCACCATATGGTATGAAGGTCAAGGTCATGAGACAAATACGAGAATCCAGTGATCCACAATAATCTACAACCAACCCAGTAGATTGACACAGGTTCAAGGTTGTAACAAGCTGTACTAGTGATGCTTATGGTTAGGAATGATAAAGACACAGGGACGTGAGGCGTGGAGATTAAGCTGATATAACATTGAGCACTAACAAATAACCAACTGTGCTGTAACACATACATCATCAACAAACAGTAAGCAGTAGCCAATGAAAACAAGGAACTATATACAATAAGGTCATGTGACACCTCGTGCATATGCATTAAGTA